GGCTGGGTTGCTGTTTGAAAATGCTATTAAGTTACCTGACTCCAGTGATGATAAGTTCTATCGGCAAGTTAGGCGATTGCACACAATTCTTACCTCCAGGGATTCTATGCAGAATATTCCAGTTAATCTTGAGGCTAGGCGAAGAATTGCTTTCTTTAGCAATTCGCTCTTTATGAACATGCCTCATGCTCCCCAAGTAGAGAAGATGATGGCTTTTAGTGTCCTCACTCCTTACTACAATGAAGAGGTGCTATATAACAGAGAACAGCTCCGAACTGAGAATGAAGATGGGATTTCGATCCTTTATTATTTGCAGACCATATATGACGATGAGTGGAAAAATTTCATGGAAAGAATGCGACGGGAAGGAATGGTAAAGGATGATGAGATATGGACAACCAAGATGAGAGATCTGAGGTATTGGGCATCTTATAGAGGTCAGACACTTTCACGCACTGTCAGAGGAATGATGTACTATTATAGAGCTCTGAAGATGCTGGCTTTCCTTGATTCTGCATCAGAAATGGATATTAGAGAAGGGGCACGAGAACTTGGTTCTATGCGGAGAGATGGTGGCTTGGATAGTTTCAACTCTAGGGGTTCTCCTTCTAGGAGTTTAAGCAGAGCAAGTAGTTCTCTGGGTCTGCTATTCAAGGGCCATGAGCAAGGCACGTGTTTAATGAAATACACATATGTGGTTGCTTGCCAGATTTATGGGGCTCAGAAGGCCAAAAAGGATCCGCATGCTGAGGAAATCCTGTATCTGATGAAACAGCATGAAGCTCTCCGAGTTGCTTATGTTGATGAAGTTTCAACCGGGAGGGATGAGAAAGAGTATTTCTCTGTTCTTGTCAAGTATGATCAGCAATTAGAGAAGGAGGTGGAGATCTATCGGGTCAAATTGCCTGGACCACTGAAGCTTGGAGAGGGCAAGCCAGAAAACCAAAACCATGCCCTTATCTTCACCCGTGGTGATGCTGTTCAAACTATTGACATGAACCAAGACAACTATTTTGAGGAGGCACTGAAAATGCGCAATCTCTTGGAGGAATACAAGTACAACTATGGTATACGAAAGCCAACTATCTTAGGAGTCCGGGAGCACATTTTTACTGGTTCTGTTTCATCACTTGCTTGGTTTATGTCAGCTCAAGAAACAAGTTTTGTCACTTTGGGACAACGTGTCTTGGCAAATCCTTTGAAAATCCGAATGCATTATGGCCATCCAGATGTCTTTGACAGGTTTTGGTTTTTGACTCGGGGGGGATCAGTAAAGCTTCCAGAGTAATTAATATCAGTGAGGACATTTTCGCTGGCTTTAATTGCACTTTGCGAGGAGGCAATGTCACACATCACGAATACATCCAGGTTGGCAAAGGAAGGGATGTTGGGCTGAATCAAATATCTATGTTTGAAGCCAAGGTTGCCAGTGGGAATGGTGAGCAAGTTCTCAGCAGAGATGTTTATCGACTGGGTCATAGACTGGACTTCTTTAGGATGCTGTCATTCTTTTATACTACCGTGGGATTCTTCTTCAATACAATGATGGTCATTCTCACTGTATATGCTTTTCTGTGGGGAAGACTTTATCTAGCTCTTAGTGGTGTTGAGAATTCTGCTTTGGCTAGCAGCAGTGACAACAATAGAGCACTTGGTGCCATCTTAAATCAACAGTTCATCATCCAACTTGGTCTTTTCACTGCTCTACCAATGATAGTGGAGAATTCCCTTGAGCATGGATTCCTTCAAGCTGTCTGGGATTTCTTGACAATGCAGCTTCAGCTTTCATCTGTTTTCTACACCTTCTCCATGGGAACCCGTACTCACTACTTTGGCCGGACTGTCCTTCATGGTGGTGCAAAGTATCGTGCTACTGGCCGTGGTTTTGTTGTTCAGCACAAGAGTTTTGCAGAAAATTATAGACTCTATGCACGTAGCCATTTTATAAAGGCTGTTGAGCTTGGTCTCATACTCATAGTTTATGCATCTCACAGCCCTGTAGCTAAGGCCACATTTGTTTACATAGCCTTAACTATCTCAAGTTGGTTTCTGGTTCTGTCCTGGCTTATGGCCCCCTTTATATTCAATCCTTCTGGTTTTGATTGGTTAAAGACTGTTTATGACTTTGATGAATTTATGGGCTGGATTTGGTACCGTGGTGGTGTGTTTTCAAAGGCTGAACAAAGCTGGGAGAAGTGGTGGTATGAGGAGCAGGATCATCTAAGGACAACTGGCCTCTGGGGAAAGTTACTGGAGATAATATTAGACCTTCGATTTTTCTTTTTCCAGTATGGGATTGTATTCCAATTGGGTATTGCTGCTCATAGTACCAGTATTGCTGTTTACTTGCTGTCTTGGATCTACATTTTCATGGCATTTGGAGTTTATCTGGTAATCTCATATGCTCGGGACAAATACGCTGCTAAGGAACATATATATTTTCGGATGGTTCAGTTCCTGGTCGTCATTCTTGGAATACTTGTTATTATTGCACTGCTTGAGTTTACGGCCTTCAGATTTGTTGACATTTTCACCAGTTTATTGGCTTTTATTCCCACTGGCTGGGGACTTTTGTCAATTGCTCAAGTACTTCGACCATTTCTGGAGTCCACACGGCTTTGGGATTCTGTGGTTTCTGTAGCTCGGCTATATGATATAATGTTTGGAGTTCTTGTTATGATCCCACTTGCATTTTTGTCTTGGATGCCTGGGTTTCAGTCAATGCAGACGAGGATCTTATTTAATGAAGCATTTAGCAGGGGCCTGAGGATTTTCCAGATTGTTACTGGGAAAAAATCCAGCGACTAGTATTTTGAGGTAATTTACCGGCTATTGTCTCTTTTATGGTTTCTATTGGCTGGACATAGATTAAAATTACTCCGATACCTGACTATTCATTTATTTAGTAGTTTAAATGCTATGAGGTTATTTGGTTTGTGGGTAGAGTTATACTTTAGCATAATGCTGTTTGGTTATGCTTATGCTTAGGTTTTGTTTTTTCTTTCTGATTTTTTTATTTATTTCCCAAGTGAGACAGTAATTTCTTTTTCTGTCCATAATTTGTCACTTTCTTGTACACAACTGTCTTTAAAACTCTGAATTCCATTCAATTGTTTCTTTCTGCTTTGGTGCTAATTTCCTGCATCATAACGATATTAGATGCTATGGGATTTATTCTGTTTCTTTTAGGTAAGTTGATCCCGTTGTGGACCATGAAGTTTTTATGCTTTTGCTATCGCATGTGCCATCCTTTTATTTTTCCTTTCTCCTTTTGGTTTCAGGTATTCATAGGCAGCTTCTTAGCTTCATCTGTTGGGATAAGTTGTGGTTAGGTTGGTTCATGCTGCTCCTAAGCTCTGTTGAATTTTGTTTTGAATTTGACTTGTCATGCAGCAGGCTGCAGATAATGTTTATATATTATTGGGTGATAGAAATTGGAGGATGGTGGTTTATGAATTATTGCCATGAATGCCAAAGTTTTGTAGCTCTTGCTACTTTACCTTTTGGGTCTAGTAAATCATTTGATTGATGCAATTGTGCTTTGCATTCCATTTTGAGATGTATTTTGTCCTTGAAGGCTTTGATTTGGTTGTTGGTCCGTCCATCCTTATACATTTTTGATGAAGTTCGGAGTCCAAAACAAGCAACAAGCTTGGCATGTAATGACTCTCTGGTCATTCTCAGTTCAGTATCGCTGGAAACATACATAATATCGCATTTTATAACCTGACCTGTCTATTTTCTGATTGCCATATGAAGTTTCTATTTTCCATTATCACAGTTACAATGCAGCTATTGCTGCAATTATACATTGGTACTTGGTGAAGCTCTCCTTGCTGTGTTTTAAGACCATTTCAAACTAATGAATTTCCAGTTGAAATCTGTTGTTTTTTTTTTTAACAATTTATGTTAGAATATAGAAGTACCTTAGTTTCTGATTTGAATACCAAGCTGTAGAAAAAGCTAGAATCAGACAAATTTTAGCTGGAGTCCTTTCGAGCCTTGATGTAGAATGTCTTTGTCTGTCTTCCTAGTTTCTTAGTCCATTGCCTGATTGAATTGTCGTGGCTTAGAAGTAGGGGAGCTTTGGGAGTATTCCCATGTAGCTTGGGTGCTTGCCGAAGCTGTTTCCATGCCATGTTTTTATAGAAGACACGAACCTGCAGCACGTAAGGCCATTCATTTGGATTTTTAAATGCTTCTTGTTGATCTTGGAACATTTTAATCGAACAGTGAACACTTAAGAAGTGTCATGGATTGCTAATTGCTAATGGTTTCTTGGCATTATATTCTGCAGGTAGGTATTCATAGCGAGACCATTTAAAACCAGAGTTGATTTGTGGTAGATTCTTGAATGAGAGAGGAGATGATGCCTGCTGCCATGCCGTTAGTTCGACTGTGATTGCCATCATACTGATATATAATGTTCAAAAATGGCCAGGTCCATCAGATTTGTTTAATCTTATTGTAATTAAGCTTCTTCGTTTTGTGTATTCCCTCGAATTTTGCGGGGGAACATCGATTCTACGTTTTTTAACTTTTCCCAAGAACTGATATTGTGTAGCGTTGTTGATAGCCAGTATAGCATTGTACTTTGTTGAGAGATGGCACAATATTTCTTATTCTTTTGTCTGAAATACAGCATTTCTTCATTCTCACGTTACCTTCCTTTTATCCATTTATTCAGTCTGTTAGGGAATATTTGTGAGACCAATAAAAATACAAATTTTACGTTATTTTTTATGGAAAAAATTACAGGTGAGTTGTAAAGCGTCTTTTTCCTTTTATTTAAAAGCTCCAAATGTACCAAGGGAAGATAAATTTATAAAATTTTAAGATAAAAAATTTTCAATAAAAAATATTTTTTATTACAAAAGGAGGGCTGCGAGGCAGCAAACTAGCAGGAGATGCTTGTCTCCATATCTTTGGCAAGGAGACGTTGTGTACCAGGCGGGGGGTGCCTCAGCACTGCGTGCCCCAAATCACTCGACCGACCCATCTTCGTGATCGAATCAGCGACAGCGTTAACAGCACGACTGATATGAGATAATTTCACAGACCACTGAAGCTTTAGAAGCTGGCGGATTCCTTGAACAATGGTAACATCGTTGGGTTGGTGCGGGGAGTTGAGAATGCGGGCAGCTTTACTATTATCGGTTTCCACCTCAATGCAACGATTTCCTCTATCCACGCAACGGTGAGGCCATCCCTTATACCCCAAAGCTCCACATGTAAGGCGTCATCTTGATGTATTGTTTCAATGGTCAATCACCGAGTTTGTATTTTCCGTCTATATCTTAAGAGAATTTCAAGATTATATACCAAAAGTAGTCATAACCAAGTTCGACAAAATTGCGTTTCACCAGAAGGTATATACTAAACAGCTCTATATTAGCTTCTATAATGGCTTAACACATCCCATCCTACATTTTATTTAGATCTATCAGCTTCAGCTAGCCTGAAACTGCTTGCAATTTGTTGATCCGTTTTTAACAAACTCTCTTGCCACCACATTGATCATCTTCGGTATTGTTCCTTTAAATTCTTCAGAACTACCCTGTAGAATTTTGTTAGGGTCTAGAACACCGTCTTTAACCACAACCGAGCCTATTGTAGCACCCTCTCCATATGCTTGACATGCCACGAGGATGTCATGTGCACAGTTGCGAAAATGACCAGTAACAAAATCCTCAAAATGCTGCAGAGAAAACATGACTGATTCGATCAGGACGAAAAATGTCAAGAGAGTGTAAAATTAACAGAACATTGTGCATAGAAAAAAAAACCTTGCAGTGCAACAGCATAAAAAGGACAGTAAAACTATTATATTTAACAAACATGAATGAACAAAGGCAGATGGGCAATAAAGATTAAAATAGATACTGAGATAGGAGAAAATTAATGGATAAACTAGATATTGAAAGATACCTTTGGTGGTTTTCTTAGCGTGTAAATCATCGTCTTTAATGATAGAATAAATACTTCCTCATTGTACTTCCTGGACTTCTTCTCACCTTCATCCCCAAGATACGAACTTTCATACCCAGGTTCGTTAAAGAAAGGTCTAGCATTCAAAATAAGAGCTTGTATTGAAACCAATACTTGTAGCATGGTTGAATGCCCTGGAACCCACATCTCATTCTCGTCTCCAGGCCAGGTGCCCAAAAGGCTCAGACATACTTTACCACATTTGTATAAATTTGGATTTAACCGGAGACCACCAGAGTAGTAATAAACCATCTGACAATAAATTACCACACATCACTTAAGCACCGTAAATAAGTTTAAACAATACTCTTAACATGAACAAATATTTTTTGGGAAGTGCACAGATACACACTAAACATACCGGTGGTTCATGGGGATATTTTGAAGGGAAGAAACACTCAAAAACAAAAAGGCCATCGTGGTATGGAGTACCAGCAGGTCCTAAAATGATAGCCCTTAAGAGATCCATCCTTCCTTCGTAAACTCTCACGTATATAGTTTCTGTAGAAGAACGGGGAGAGGGAGCATGAGCCATTCAAACAAAATAACTCCAGGTGTTACGAAGCAAAAGTAGCAATTTTCATGATAAGAAGTTACAAATTTCAGAAATCAATGCAGCTGTCCTACACAGTTTGATATGCATAATTTTAAAGATGTTATTCAGTTGAGGAATGTTCATATAATTTCAGTTATGGCAGTTCTTAGCACTTGATAAAAGTAATATAATGAGCAAAAATTAATTACTTATCCAATTACTATGATAATGACACATGATTTCATAAAATGTATCCATATATCAGAACTCACCTGGTAAGTCCTTTTCCAGAATCTTCCACTCCTCTTGTATTTGCTTCACCCACTCCTTTGGTTGCTAACAATAGAAAGTGCAAAAATCATATTATATTAACAATGAAAAATTTAGCATGACAGAGAAACAAGATGCATACTCACCCCTCTTGATGAGTTTATATCTCTGTAATGATGGTCTGAGAAATCATCCACAACATCGAAATGTTTGAAACTGAGAAACTTTGCATATCCCCATTTTCTTCATTTCCTTCTTTGCAATCAGACCTTGACTCTCTGGGGACTGTTGAAGTATAGGTAGAAGCTGGCTTTAGTTCGCCATCAGCCAAATTTGATGTCGTGGCTTGCTTGCCCAGGGAAGGAAGCAGAACAGAGTCCTTCAACCATGGAATTGAAACCTCTACCCCAGGAGGAAGATCCGCATTATCAAAATTGGATTGCATAATTGAATAGTCATCTTCATATAAGAAATCATCATTGCCACCATAATCAGAGACATCATCAGCATAGTCCTCAGTCCTCATCATCAGCATAGAAAAAATCAGAGTTAGAACTATTGATATTATTCGAATTGATTGATGGTGCAGTAGAACTCTTGAAAGGATTGTTACTATCCTCAGACCCTCCTATACTGACAGAATTTCCCTGATCACTAGCAGAAGAATCCGGAAAAAAAAATAGTAAATGCAATTACAGGCCAGCTGGTGAAATAAAGTTAAAGTTGTGCCAAGGAAAATCGAAGTTTCTATTTGAAAATGTAAAAACATACCTTCACATCGTCTTCCCACTTCTTGTCACAGCATATCATAGTCTTTCCCTTGCTGTTCATTCCAGCTTTCTCAGAATCATCAAAACCGTTGTCAAATCTTCAACTTGTTCAATATCCATTGCATCAGAAAGAATAATCTATACAAGAAGATTGGTTCCTTAACATATAGTTCAAGCAAAATATTTAAGTGAAAACTTAAAAGAGTTCCATATCACGAGGCTCCAAATAGTCTAATACAATTGTATAAAACTGGAAAATTGACAGTGACAAGAACTTATCCTCAACATATGTTTTAAGCATTCTTTAGAGATTGAAAAAAAAAACAGAATGATAGCTTTGCCTCAAGCTTCATGCATAGAAAAAAATTCTCAAGAAGTTTATCGTGCAAAATGCTGTAACCAACCTTCACTAGCAGATTTTAACTCTTTCAGTTTGAAAAGAACAAGAAAACTCCGATCAAATCATTAAAAATACCAAAAGACGAAACAACATTTGCATGCAAAAATATTACATGGAAGCTTTTTCTTTAGTATACACGAAAGAAACAAATAATATAAATGAAATCAATTTGGCAAATCGAAACAAACAAAACTTGACCCATGGCTCTTCTTGGCTGCAGATAAATATGACAAGAAAGCGAAAGGAAGTTAGCAAAAACTTCTTTTGCTACCAATTTATTTCAGCTTCTCTCTTTGAACAGAGAGTAAAGACGTCCACTTTTTTCCCCGTGGAGAGAATTTTCCTAGCAACCAAACAGACTTTAAAAAATCCATATAAAGAATTTCATTCGTAGCTCATTTAGTAAGAGAGACACACGCACACGGGGAATTCCGATCAAAAGCCGTCAATCAAAGTCAAAAGATCATTGATCAAAAAGCAACGAAAACCAAATTACATCCACTCCAACACACTTAGTCATACGGTAAAGCTCACGGTAAAAAAATCATATATAATTGTTTGGGTTAATTAAAGAAATGTTAAAAGAGAAAGAACCTGGTTCGGTTTAAGTCGATTGGAGATCGAAGCGTCGTCGGCACGAAGATTCGTACAAAAAAAAAAAGGAAAAGGAAAAGACTGATCTTTCCCACTCACTCGGAAAAAGCAAACAAACAATTTCTATAGAGAGGGGAAAACCTAATTAAAAAAAAAAGTAAGCTAGAGTGACAAAACCGTACATGATTCTATTTACAATCTGGGTAAACTAACAATTTGGCCACCCATCTATTCACGTTTTATGTTTTAGTTACTCAATTGCTTTTTAAAATCATATTCAATATTACGTTTTATTTTTATTTTGATTTTGGTCATCAACTATTAAATTTTATCATTTTATTAATAAAAATGATTATAACATATGATATAATTAGGGGTGTTCAAAATTCGGTTTTAACCGAATTAACCAACCGAACCGAATTAATTCGGTTAATTCGGTCGGCCACCGAATTAGTTCGATCGGGGAACGGTTAAGGTTTTTTTGGATATTCGGTTAACGGTTAATTCGGTTCGAAATCGGTTAATTAACCGAATTAACCGAATTAACCGAAATAAATTTTAAATTTTAAATATATTATATATAACATATGGGCTCAGCCCAAACCATTTAAATCCAATTAATAATTTAAGATCCAATAACTTTTAAACCTAAATCAATATTAATTAATTAAAAAATTTATATAAAATTTATATTTTATAATTATATATTTTTTAAATTAATTGTAAACTATTTTTTGAATTAAAAAATATTTAATATATTATATATAACATATGGACTCAGCCCAAACCATTTAAAACCCAATTAATAATTTAAGATTCAATAACTTTTAAACCTAAATCAATATTAATTAATTAAAAATTTATATAAAATTTTTATTTTATATATATTATTTAAATTAATTATAAACTGTTTTTTTGAATTATAAAATATTTAATTTTTATATAAATTAGAAAATTTTAAAAAAATTCGGTTAATTCGAAAATTAACCGAATTAACCGAAATTTATTCGGTTCGATTAATATTTTCGAAAAAAAATTCGGTTCGGTTAACGGTTAAAGAAAAAAAAAAGTTCGGTTAATTCGAAAATGGTAGTTCGGTCGGTTCGGCCACCGAATTAACCGAATGAACACCCCTAGATATAATAATAATTTTAGTAAAATCCATACACTCTAACAAATTGATTTATAATTTAATAATTTTTTATCATAAAAATATTTTTATTAGTTTGATGATGTGATCAATTAAATCACTTAATATCGTCTATACTTAAAAAAAATTGATATTTTCAACTCAATCGTAAAAAGCAAAAGATATTTTCTATAAAGAGGGAAAACTTAATAAAAAGCTAGTGGCAGAAAAACATACGTAATTCTTAATTAAATTGTATAAATTATCCTATTTGGTCATCCATCTATTCCTAATTTTAATTTCAATCACTTAATTATTTCTTCAATTGTACTTAAGATAATTTCTTTTTTTTTTATTTTAATCACTAACAGTTAATTTTATACCATTTAATAGGGCGCAACCTTAGTATATAGGAGTATATAATTACAGGAAGAGCAGGGCTTTTCACAAAGCGAATATAATTGAGAAAGCCCAATAGAAGATAGCCCAGGAGGAGGGAGAACAGAAGGGGAAACCCATGAAAAGAGAGCCCAAATTTAAAAAAGCTAAATTAATATTGCGGTGAGCGTGGATCGAACACGCGACCTTCAGATCTTCAGTCTGACGCTCTCCCAACTGAGCTATCCCCGCCGTCGTGCATTTAAATGAAACGATAACAATAAACAATTATAAACTAGCAAGAAATTTTTAACCTGAATCATCATCTTTGCGTGCATTACTGAACGCTGGATGGCTTTTAATGTAAGCCCAAAACTTACCTGATCCTTTGCCCAAAGGGTGAAAAATGCTGGACAATCCTGAATAAAAAATTTAAAATTAAAATTATAACATCTATCGAATAATTTCAATGATATAAAGAAATATTATTCTCTTTTTTCTATAGATGTTATGTCCAAATAACTCCGTTACATGGTGTTTATACATTATAAGAGGTTAAGAAAATTACGAATTATAATATATTTAATTATTTTAACCTATAAAAAAGAATATTTAAAATATGCAAGCTTAACCCCGAACTTGAAAATAAAACTTTTGTAACGAAATAACACTTCCATTAAGAGTTGGTTTAGGGATATATATATATATATATATATATATATATATATATATATTTATAGTAAAAGTTGATAATTATTTTAAAATTTAAACAATTAGTACAAAAAATTTGTGGTAAAAGTTCAGATTCATTAGCTTTTGAAAAATAAGTAGCACGTGTCTAATAAGAAAAATATAAAATTGTTTATAGCGCATGTTAATTGAGGTAATCAATATAAGATTATCGTTATCTCAATACAAATATTTTATAGTTTATAAAATTTAATTATTTTAAATTCAAATTGACTAAAACAAGTACTGATAATGCATAATCTATACGTCATTAGGAAAAATAATTTAACGAAATATAGTTCGAGATGAAATGATATGAAAATTACAAAATTGGTCATATTAAATATCTTATTTTCTTATTTTAAACTGGTGTGCCTAGACATAGACGATCATGATGGACTCATTTACATGGGGTCTAAGCTCCTGCTCGTATCATAAAATTAACATTTACCTAAAAATTAAAGAATATTTGATCAATTAAATAATCGTATTTGACAAAAATTAAAAATGATTAAATTAAATTTAAGATTAAATGAACTAATTAGGGAGATTGAGAAATCGATAACTTTAATAACTATCAAGGAGTCATCCAAGGACCCAATCCTCCATTGTTTTGTTCCATTTCTTACACGTAAAAGATAATATATTATTTCTTTCTTTCTTTTCGAATTTGTCATTCGACTGATCAATCACCATTCACCACCTAAAATACTTTTTTTTTTTTTTTACTTTCCATTCGTTTTGCACTACAAATGTCTTTGATTTCCACGAAAGACTAAGAAAACCCGAAAGACGAAATGTCAAAAGAAAGTAAACAAAGCCACTAAAACAAAGCTACGGGTGAGGCGGAGGCCGTTCTTGTGGCTCACGCCTTTTCATTTTCCTCCTTTTATTAGGAGTCAAAGCACTTAACCTATGGCTTATCTACCATCCCCACGGCCACAAGCTTCATTTCATCGTTGTTAGCGCCGTCATCTACCAACGCAACGTCACTTCCCAACCTTCCATTTCCAATTCCGTGCAATTCACCACACTGACACGAAACCCAATAGGAGAGTCTCCACCCTTTAGAACAAGTTGCAAGCATACGTTATGTTTAAAAACCAACAAATCACTCCCCATTGGACTTATCACCACTGTTTCACGAGACGAAGACCACGGTGACGCTTGCTCTGCTATTCGAGATTGTCTTTAAGAGTTTAGCTATATAAAATGAATCAAGAAACTTTTGCAGCTCTGGGTATTGAGTCATTTGATTTTTTTTTTCTAGCTGAGGTCGTAAAGAAGAAGAAAAAGACACGAGGGTTTTAGAAAATTTTTAATATTTAATAAATTTATGTTTCATGTCATTTACAGTTGATGACTTACGTGGATTTATTTATTATTTTTTAATTACCACGTAATACTTTCATTAAAGGGTTAAAGGATGATTGATAAATTAAACGGATCAATAACGTTAGAGATGACGTATCCTTAATTTTTAAATTAATAACCAAAACCGATCATTTAAAAAAAAACCCTTCGCATAGTTTACCCAATTAAATTTTACTCACCCCTACCACTTACCTACCGAAAACTTCGCATATGAAGGTGGTGCTAACTTTGGGCGCCAAACCAGACGTTTCCCGCTAATTTCACCCGACAGACGATCTGTTAATAAAACCCCACCAAACCGATCTCACAATTCATTCCATTTCTAAATTTTATTTCAATCATTTCGCGAGTCGAAAGCTATTCCACAAAAGATTTCAAGTTTCTGATCTCCAAACCATGGTTGTTCCTCTCGGTCCAGGCAAGTTCTACGGCAGCAGTCTCCATCGGCCGCGTATCTATACGTAGACCCAGTTCAACTCCGAACGCGTGGATCCTCCGGTTCCGGTTCTTGATCCGCTGCTGTCCTGGGCCAATGAAGCGCATTGGTCCATGGGCGGTCTCAGTTTCAAGCGTCTCCGTCTCCAAGGGCGGATCGAAGGCAACGTTAAGAGACTGAAAGCCCAGCGCGAGAAGCTCCTTGACGACAAGGATGATGATCTGATTCTTAATAAAATCAATAGGGATGCTTCGGTGTTCCCCCCTCCTGCTCCACTCGCCGTCAAGAGGAAGAGATTCTTCGACCTTAATGACGATGGCGATGAGATGGTGGTGAAGAGAGAAACGAAGATGACATCTACGTCGAGGAAAGGTGCTGTGAGGAAATTGGGATATGATTTTGAGAGAGTGGCCGATGATAATGACAGCGGTAAAACGAGTAAAGAGAGGAGTTTCAATGATGGCATCGGCAATGATGTGATGAAGATTGTGGAGGTGGTTAATGTTGAGTCCGAAGTGATGAAGAAGAAGAAGAAGAGGAGGAGGATTGTAAAGGGATTGAAGAATGGTAAAGACGAGTTGCAGCCGAGTGAAACAGAGACAAGAACAAGGTGTTCTCCGAGATTGGCAAAGCGTGGTTGATAAATACATCCTAATTTTACTTATGTTTAGTCTCAGAGGCGTTCATCAATGGTGAAGCAGCTCGAAAATGCTAATCTTCATATGTGATCCCTCCTTGATTTGTAAACTTTGCAGTTGGGTACAACTAAGAGAGTTTTTAGCAATAAAATAATACTGGATTCATTCATATTTCTACTTGAAACCCACAATTAAATTGGATTCATTCATATTTCTAACATGAACCCAGAATCAGAATCATTGAAGATAGTTCACAGCTGCTAGGAAAATTTGGCAGCAAACTTGCAATCGTGTACCATATATATCTGCATATCTACTTAACCATATAGTAATTTGTATGGATATGAGGAAAAAAGAAAGGATACAATAAACTTTTTATACCTCGCACAAACTACTTTGTCAGAAAGAATCAAATTTTCTGATTGTACTGTCTTCACTTTCTCTTGGAACACAGTTGTTTGAGGTTTTTGTTTTCTTCAACAAGTCCATGGATTCTAGCCAATCTGCACGAGTGTTCTACGGTCAGTTTGTAAATAGGAGGGGACTCCCACGGTACGATCCCGAAATCATCGCTGTATTCCACCATCCCTTCAACAAAGTATTGCCAGACTAAGGCACCTGCCCCAGACCATTTCTTCTTTGCAGATTTATAAATGATGTCCAGAATGGTTCTATAAAACAACTCTCTTTGGGATGGCTGGTAGTCTTTATTCTGGTCCGACAAGCCGTACTCGGTGAACATAACTGGCTTCTTCAGTTCCTTGTCGCAATCTTCAATGTGCGACCGCATCCACTTGGAAACGTAGTTCCGTTTTTCTTCGAACCCAAGATGATGAAACCTATCAAAGAGGGTATGGAAAAAGATTAGAGAAAATGCTTATTGAAGACACAGCAGTGCCTACTTGAAAATGATTAGGCTTCATTCTGTATCATGCAAAAGATATTTTACATACATACTGATAGAATTTCATGAAGAGTGGTCAATATTGCTTACCATTGGTCTGCGTATATATGAACAGAGGCAAAATCAACATGCGTAATGTTCGAGTTGTGCATAAAATCAGACCCAAGGAGTGAGGCCCACTCTTCCGGATTCACAGTTTTCTTCTTGGGGCTTTTTGGACCATAAAATCCTTCTAAGCCGATGGTCAATAGATGGTTTTTGTCGATTGATTTTATGAAAGCGGACATCTCTTCTAACCAATCCTGCAATGGATGGCCGTAAAATTGAACTCACCTTAAGATACAAAACGATGAATCTTGGAAGAAAGTAAAAACCTCGCTCTTTGAGATGAACACATACAACATATAAAACCCGTTTTCTGAAATATGAACATGTTGCACAACACAGTCGCATTCATCTAAGTATAATTGGTCTAAGATTATGCAGAATTGGTGCTTAAAAGAACATGTGTACGGTCTGATCTCATAACTTACTTGAAGAGTATCCCCAGAAGGATCGGTCATGCAACGGGGTTCATTGATCAACTCCCAAGCAAAGATGGCGGGATCATTCCGATATTCAATTCCAGTGATGGTGTTCTTCCTGGTGAGGACAGTCTGGGAGAAAGAAATACATCACTATGAGACTTCATTTCACCTTAGAAAAGCATTTTTGAAATTATCATCCTTCAATAGAAAAAGAGCATTGTAAGAAGAAACTACATTGTCATGTTTCTTAAAAGTTTGTAATGAGGTCTACATCGGTCGAAAGAAGAACCCGGAAAGATACTGTTTTCCAACTTATTGGCCAGCACCCGGAAAGAATCATACTTGTGCCATTCTGCCTAATACGCTCAAGCTCGTAGCAATGCATAAATGATGAATAATATTTTTGCATTTACAAAATGAAGAAATCAGGCAACATAACCCCTTGTTTTTTTTTAAGAAAAGAAAGATAAATGGAACTATCCTATGCACTTCCCTTCTGTCCAAAGAAGAAAAAGAAAAAGGAAAGCATAACACTTCATACAGAGTAACAACACATTCCTTTCACTTTCAGTTCTCTTTCACAATCAAATTGTTGCAAGTGACTTTTGTGTTTGCCATCAACAGGCGAAACGCCTTGTACTTGTTGTTTAAGGGGCTATATACAGTAAGCACTAAATTAATAAACAAGTTGATGCGACATTTGCAGCATCGGGTTCGTCTTTGAACATTAAGATTTATCTATTTCAACAATGTAATGTCAGCACTGCAGGAGCAATTCACAGAAGATATGCAGTGATACACATGCTTCGTGATGCAGGGGAAGAAAATTCTCATTATTCAAATATGAGAAAATAAGATTAGTGAAAACTTAGATAGACAACGAGATACCAGGACGTAATTCTTGAAGTATTTGCGGATTGATGGATCATAAAAGAAGGAATCATTAGAAGAACTCAAACCAATGCCTTCTTGCCACGCCCAGTTGACATACTGCGTCTTTCCACCATATGGTTGCAAGTTATTTACTAAGCTCAGAAGCAGCCTGACTCCATGTTGCCTTGCTTCTGCAATGACATAGTCCAAGGCCTGGAAAGACCGATATTCGTCAACATAAATAACAATAACTGAGAAAATGTAATCTACAATCATACTAACCGACATTCGAGAACACAACTCAGTTGATTATTCAACGATTTTTGACAGATTTCTAATCAACCAGCCTAGAAATAGAAGCAAATTGAAATCCGAATAGCTTATCCTGCTATTCTCCTTCATTTCCAACTTTCTAGATTACAGTTTTAGTGAGCCCTATCATATTTCTGTTCAAGACAATCCTAGTTTAGATTAGCAACTCTGCAATAATCTACATCTTCAATATGCACATTGTAAATCTCTTGTAAACTTGAAACCGAAATCGCGCTTGCAATGAACACCCAAATCATATAGGATTGAGATTATATATAGATGGTAATTTGTAATGTAGATATCAAAATTTACAAAAGAAAAAGAAAAACCCTAATCTCTAACAAATACCTTGAAAACTCGCTCATCAAATTGTCCTGGGGAAATCTGGAGAGCATTATAGCCACCGTCATTAAAGGCCCAGGTTCTACAAACAGTGAGGCCCATCCTTGCACCAGCTTGAAGCATTGCACTGACCTTAGGTCTAGTATTTTCCTCCACAGAATGGGACATTAACCAGTAAGAATTCCAGCCATTAACGTACAGTGGTTTCCCATCTAAAAAGAACTGAGTCCCATTCCTTTCCACAAAATTTAATCCCCGTTCCCTTGGGAAACTACTAAGCTTCAAATCACCAAAAGACATATAAATAAAAGCCATACACGAAGCAAATCCAATAATTGGGTATAACATCCCATTGCCAGCCATCGTCTTCCTATATATAGTAAGCAATCTGAAAATCAATCAACATGCAAAAATCCAAGAAAAAAAAGATAAATTATTCGGGTACCCTTTTGGCTCTATTTTAACACAAAGTTCCAAAATTTAAGGATACCCAAAGTGGAGATTACAGACTTACAGTACCTTAAACTCCAATGTGAACGCAGATCCTTCTTCATAAGGTCACACACAGAAAATATGTACAAAGATGACTCCTTTCAAGGCATAAAAACAGGGGCAGATAGATTTGCAGGTTCAATGGTTTCTGTTCAGGATTTTGGGGGTTTTAATACCAGAAAACGAGACCACATGAAAGAACTGAAAAGGAAGGGCAAAGGTTAAGAGAGTTTCAAAGACAAATGTAAGATTGGGAATGGTGGAATGTTGGCATCAGCAATCTCAGATATAAGCACTGCACCTGATTTTCCCCAAAGTTTCCTTGGATTTTACCATAGCTACTACTGAAACAAACAAGTCTCTTTTATTCAACACCACCCATGGATTAGATGGCCCATGCGATTACCTCCCCCAGTAAAAAAAATATTTAGTGGAAACAAAAGAAACGGTACGAAAATTATAATAATAAAGAAAAATAATTCCAACCCTCATTTGCAAGGGGAACTCGGATTCTCTTGGCGTTTGCAACTGTTAAAGCCTGGAGCTTTTTCTCTGTTCTTTTGTTTTAAAATAGGTTAAAACATGTGTAGGATTCCATTTGTTGTGTGATACATGGTCGGATCTGATATGAGACGTGTGATTAGGTGATGGAAATTGTGAATGATGACCGACAGAAGTTTTCCCATGTGAAGAGCCCGACAACGGGGGCTACACTCATTGCGCATCTATACGTGCACACTTCTTCCTCTCAGCGAGAATTTCTCCTTTGATTGTTGCTTTATTTGACAAATTAATTCTCTCGGTCATGTAATCGCCCCCTGCTTTGAACTATTTCGTAGGCAATTGGAAGACCTTTTCAGATAGTTTTGATTAAATTAATTGCATATCTTTTGGTAAGGAAATTAGGTCACTAGCCAGCGTGAGGGACCACATTAATGTATGGTTAGTATTATTTGTTTTAAGACAATATATAATAATTATTTTTGTTTTAATGGATGACGTCATTTCTTTATTTTATTGATAATTTATATATTATTAATGTTTTAAATATAAATATAAACCATTAAGCTTTGCGATTAATTGATAATTAGCAAGGTAGAGTGATCAGTTGTTGGGTCGTTACAACCAAATGCTTGGTGTCGGAAATCTTTACTCACGTGGTATTACGGCCTACAGTAAATTACCGATAAACCCTAGCCAAAACGTATCGTTTTGAAAACTAAATTTGATATTTATAAATATTCGATCTAATTATATGAAAATAGATCGATTATTTATAGATATTGAAATCTATAATAATAGTAATGGTACTAAGTTGAGTAATAATGTTTAGCTTTTGGCAGTGACATAGACACTCGTTATTTATTTATAACTATACCTAGGGATGTGCATGGACCTGAATCCGACGGGTTTCGACCTGATCTGATCGGGTAGTTTTTTTTAAAAAAAATTGGATTCGGGTCGGGTCAGATTCTTATTTACGGTGAAAAATATTCGACCTGACCCAACCTAAAAAATATAATTTTACCTTACATATTTAAAAATAATTACAATAATACTCATCTATATATTTTTTTCAATTAAATCACTATTTTATTGAATAAAAATAACTTTTTATTTTGAATCGGGTCGGATCGGATTTGGATTTTATCTCAGAAAGTAGGGTCGGGTGGAGGGTATATATTTTTCGGGTCTGATCAGGTCGGATGAAAAATATACAATTGTTGAGTCGGGTCAGGTTGGTCGAAACCCGTCCTATGCCCATCCCTAACTATACCATAATAAATTAATAATGCTGCTGGGAAGATTTAAAAGTATTGCTTTAGAAGAAAGAAAGAGTTAGGTGATGGGTTAGAAATTTTATAAAATTACATTTTAATCCTTAATTTATTAAACTCGTGACGTGTTCATTCGTTTCGATAATAATATAAATTTATATACTGTTAATATATTTTAAACTAAAAATATTTATTTTATAAAAAAATATATAGATATACTCTTATTTTTTTTCATTTTTGTGTACTTTTTAAATTTAGTTAAAAAAACATATTAATTATACCGTGGGTAATAAAGACAGATTTCGACCTTGCAACCCACATCTTGACTACAATGGTATTGTTTCAAAGTATTCAAAATTCTCAGTCAAAACCAACAGACGATGCATTCCATCATCATCATCGTGCTTTTGAGAAGTTACACCTTAACACTCATTTTCCACTCGAAACAGGATGACCCTAAACCCTAACATTGGTTTAAACAAGTTTTATTGTTTTTCCTTTTAATAATATGAGTTTTTTTATTCATCTCTTGGTTTTATCAAAACTATTTAAGAAGTTAAATTTTCAAGAATCATTAACGTCTCAATTTACGACATTCCAAGAAACAACTTCATTGTTATCTCAAACTATCTTATCCGTATTAGCTTTAACCCACCCGAATGATGTTTTAATTCGCATAAACTTTAAAAAAATACATTATGTAAATCATTACATTTTTTTAATATTAAATCATTATATTAACCTCTATTTTTACAAGAAACCATGAGGGATCTTGATTTCTATCATTGGACAACGATGGGATGACCTTACAATGACATCGACACTCATCAACTGGTTGACCATGTCTAATTGTAGGCATATGTAAGGCATTTTTACCCAAAAATCACCTAAATATTATAATATTACATATCAAACACTTTTTTCTTAATTTTTATCGATCTAACACCTTTTATAATAAGACACGTTTCGTGAGACGTATTTGCTTAGATAGACTAAAGGCACGTCTCATAAATCACGTTTTCTAGGCGAAATATTGACATGTCACCATGTGAGAAGACGTATTTCAAGGGTCACACCTTCTAGTTTTTTTTACCTTCCCTAAAAGTATTTTTAAAAATCTATTTTAAATTTTTTTAAAGTAAAACTATATGGACTAACTGTATAATTTAATACATATTAATTTCATGAGTTGAAGAGCTTAATGGTGTTAGTTTATATAGGCATATTGTAGTGTTTAGATTATGTTTCTTGACAATGTGGGATAAAAACTAAAATGTGTATTCCTTAACTTTTTTTATCTCTATATCTAATGAATTCACATATACACTATTATTAAATTACATTAGGTTAATATTTATTATTAAGATTTATTAATTAATATTAGATATTTTTTATATGTTAATATACTTAAATACTTATTTTTTTTTAATTATGAGTTTAAAAAATTTATGTTGAATCTAATATAAAAATATTAAATTAAACATGCATGATCGTGGCACCATTAAACACTTACAAACGGTTGATTTCTTTGTTGCTATTCTTATTCATAAGCCTCTATTTTGAGATACTATGTTGTTTCTGAACTTCTTACAAATGGTTGATTTATTTGTTGCTTGTTTATACCTAAGCGTTTATGCAACCTTTTGGTGTTTGTAAATTGTAGCCTCTTGTCAAAATTGTTCTGTTTTGGTATATATGCAACAACTACATATATTGTAAGTATGATTTGGTATGCCGAACTTGATTCACCATATGGCTTTTAAATGTTACCATATTGCAAAAGAATTATATTTCTCCAAAGAACCAAACGATTGTTATCCATCATGTATAGCATTCATATTTGGTTGATTTTTGTGTAAAAACGCCCGTATGTAAGAAGGTGCTTACTTTGCTTAAAATGAGAAACGATGGGTACATAATATTATTAATGAGGCAAAGGAGGGTTGAATCAGTCGTAAACCACTCACATTAATTAATTTAATAATGTAGCGATTTAGGACAGAGTACGGTTGACTGCCTGCTTAGTTTGTTGGATTCTCAACACATAAGTCAACTTCGTGTAGATGTTAACTGAAAATTAAAGAACTATTTGTGTTTTTGCCTCCGGGTTTGAACTGTGAAGTGGGTAAACAAACAGCACCATGTCATGTCAGCAACCAAACCAGGCTGACTCTCGAGAGTCGATATAAAATATTTATCAATTGGGCTAAGAATAGTATTGGGTTTCTCCTTATTAACCCAAAATGTTATTTTCATTTTTAAGACACATACATACTAAGCCCATTCCTAATGTCTATTTTAGTTGTCAAGAAATTATTATTATACTTCAGTTGCGGGAGAAGCTACGTTTTGATAAACGTACTCCTTTCAAATGCAATGTGAATGTGAAGATGGTCTGGGTGAGACCACTTTCAATAATATAGGGTAGATGGTCCACAGCCGGCCACTTGAATCCTAGGAAGATGCCGAGCATCCGATGCAAACCTAGGCAAAATATGACCATGTTACCCGAAAGGCAAGCGATATATATTGTTGGTTCATATGATTATCTTGTTCATCTATTGTGCAGCGATTCTCATGACTAGCCCCCTACGGCTAACTTGAGCGCAACCAAGATGAATTTAGAGGACTGTTGAGGTAACCATTTTTCTTGAAAAATATAAATTTTCGTATAATTTAAATATTTATTTTATATTTTATGTTTTTATTCTTTTTGCTTTCGCATTTCTGAAAGAAATTCTCCTTTCTTTTTCTTCTTTGCTTTCTTGGCTATCGTCATGGGTGATATTAGTGATCAGTTTGGTAATGGTGGAAACCCTTATTATCTTCATCAATCTGACAATCCAAGAGTGGTTCTGGTCACTCGGCCTTTGACTAATGATAATTACAATAGTTAGAAAACGCTCCATGGTAGTGGCGTTGTCTGCCAAAAACAAGCTTGTCTTCGTTAATGGTTCGAGTGCAGCTCCAGATCCGTCTTCAACAGAGTAAGAGTTGTATAACGCCTGGACAAGAGCTAACAACCTTGTGAATTCTTGAATCTTGAATTCCTTTTCCAAAGAGATTATAGTAAGTCTTGTCTATCATTCTACTACTGCTGCAATATGGAAAGATATTGAAGATAGATTTCAACAGTCGAACGGACCGCGTACCTCTCATCTCAAGAAGAAACTCATGAGTTAGCTCAAGGTTCGATGTCTGTTAGCACTTATTACACTCAACCTAAAATCATATGGGATGAATTGGCGTCTGTTATACCATTTTGTTCATGTTTGTAATGCACCTGTGGAGGTGTTCGCAAGATGATAGATGATGGTCAAAGGGAGCAAACAATTAATGCAGTTTTTGATGAGGCTTTTATTTTCAATTTTAAAATTTTATAAGTTAATTTATTAGTATAAAATCATGAATCACAACACTCTCGTTTAGGGTGTTTAAATTTGGATATCGGATCTGATTCGATGTGATTTTAATCCAATCTAAAAAACTAGGTATCCAAATTTATGATCCCAATAAAATATATCTATATCAATTTTAAAATAACCTACAAATAACTATAATAATCTTAGCTTATACTTAAAAAATAAGTAAAAATTCATCTTAACAACTAAGATAAAAAATATTTATTAATTAGACTCATAAATGATATAGTGAATCGAATCTATCTAATAATTTTTCTATTTATAGAGAGAACCAACAAAAACAGGAGTAACTGTTACATAGCCCTGTGATAAAAACCAATGTCTAATCTAAGTCAAATTAACAAAAACCAATGTCTGGAGAAAAGAGAGTAAAAGT